GATTTTGGATTCCTGGCTGGAGGATTATTGGGGATTTCACAATTGGGAAGAATCAGTGATGGCAGGCAGACTTTCCAGAGAAAGAACTTGCTTAACCTTCTCCATAGCTACAATATTATGCCACAGGGAAGTGATAGTGGGTGCATTCTAGAGCAGATGTGAATGGGGGCCACAAATATGGATTTTTTTTACCAGAATGTGGAGATCTACTAATTTGAGATGTAGGCTTTCAATTAAATAATTCCATACTCTCCAACATGTCACAGATGAAAACTAGGATGACCAAAGAACACCAGTATGGTCAAGACGGCAAAAGTTATTACTGAGGGAAAACACACAGGCTAGCAATTTGCTGCAGCAGTTTGCTTTTGCCTTCTCCCCTCCTTTCTTCTCCCCTTGCTGAATTAATTGATTGAAAACTATTTTTGCACTTTTACTTACTTCTATTGCTCAGTTTGCAGCAACTGAAGTAAGCTAAGGACGAAGAGAGAAAGTGGGAGGAAGGAAGAGAAACTGGGATATTTTAAACTAGGACATTTGAAAAGCAGCATAAAAAAATGGTGCAACAAAAGATAAATCAGGCACACCAAATTGGCACAGTTGGAGTATATGGCATTATGAGCCCAGAAATTTGCTTTAATTACCAAAATTGAGTGGACCTAACTATCCTTCAGCATAAAACCCATTCTGTGTTATTTGTGGCTTTCTTCTGTTTCAAGTTTTCTTAACTGGAACAGCATAATGTAGGTTTTCCCTCATGGTGTTGTTTCCCCTCCCGTTAAACACTGCAGCGCAAGAAATCCTTCCTAGTCTGCTGCAAATCATCCAGATTTTTACCAACAGATTGCAATATTTTTCTTGCCTCGCATCAGTTTATGAAGGGTGACAACTTGTGGTCTTACAGATTTTGCTGCTGATCCCATCACCCCAAACCGCCACAGCCAATGGTGTGAGAATCATGAGAGTTGAAATCTAGCAACATCTGGAGGGCCATCAGTTGCCAACCCCTGTTGTAAGAGAAGGAACCTCTGCTCACACCTTTACTTAGAGATCACCCCTCCCCAAATATTTTATATACTTGACTGTAAGTTGACTTCATGTATAAGTCAAGGGCAGATTTTGGGGGCCAAATTTATGGATGTTGGTATTACCCGTGGATAAGTCAAGGGTAAAAATTAGGGATATGTAACCAAGGATGTAAAGGATGAAGCGAAGGCAAACAGAGCCATAGAATTACAGCAGGCATTATTGTCCTTGCTCACACTAAAAGCTGGATGGATGTGATAGCAGAGACAGTGCTTCCAGGACAGATTACGCTCTTGCCTTTCACCAAGGGATGGCTCCTTTTGTAAAAATAATAAGAGTTTTGAAGTACGGTACTTACATTGACCCATGAATAAGTTGACTCAGTTTTTTTGGGTCAATTTTTTGTCAAAAAAATTCTAGACTTATGTGTGAGTGTATACAGCAACATGCTTTGTGCTTCAGTAAAGGTTTGGAGAGCCACACCTTTCCTTCTCCCTGATGTAAGAAGCCGAGCCTGCATAAAGCTGAGAAGTGAACACTTTGTGCCCACAGACAAAGCCTCTTTGCTTCCCTCTTTATGCCATGAACGGTCAAACCAGGTAGCCTCTAATCATTAACCACAGTGTCCTCTCTCATGTGAAGAGGAAACTATGGGGGTCAGTTTCCGGGTTTAATTGCCTGCATCATGAATGAAGGAGCCAGGGGATCATTTGGGCAAAGAAATTGCTTGTATCCAGTTTATTAAGCTAGGTTATGGTTGTCCAAACCAGGTCAGTGAGGTTGAACAGCATAGGAACTGAATCCCATTGTGGGAGAAAGGTAGGATATATAACCTTGAAATAAATAAATAAATAAATAAATAAATAAATAAAGGAATTGTTTATTCTGATAAGAGGTTGCATAAACCACTGTAATGTCATTACATGGAGGTGCATTTGAAGTCAGGCAGCATTGATTGGTGAGCCAGTTTGAGTCAATATATTAGGTGGAGATTGGAAATGTGGGCTTTAATTTTAAAACACATCTGTGAAAGGGATCCAGCATTAAAAGCCACTATGCACAAATCATTCTGCATTTCAAGTAAATAATACTTGAAGCCAAATAAATAATTTTGTCATTAACTGCCCTCAAGTCAATCTCGACTCATGGCGGTCTTATGGATGAGACATCTCCCAGAACTTCAGTCCTCCACTGCTCTGGTTAATTCCTGCAACCCCTTAATACCCATGTACCTCCTTAATAGAGTCCATCCATCTGGCATGTGGCCTTCCTGTCTTCCTACATCCCTCTATCTTTCCCAGCACTATTGTCTTTTCCAATGAGCCTTTCCTTCTCATGATGTGTCCAAAGTACGACAGCCTCAGTTTGGTCATCTTGGCTTCCAGGGAGGTTTCTGGTTTGATCTGCTCTAGGACCTACTTGTTTGTCCTTTTGGCTGTCCATGGGATCCTCAGAAGTCTTCTCCAGCACCACATTATCTCAAATGAATTGATTTTCTTCCTATCATCTTTCTTAACTGTCCAGCTCTCACATCCATACATGGTAATAGGGAATACGATGGCTTGTATGATTCTAACTTTTGTTATAAGTTGTATATTCAGAGACATAGCCATGTTAGAATGGAATATCAGGATGCAAAGGGATTGTATAGTACCTTTGAGAATAACTGTGCAAAAGACGTTGTAGCATAAGCTTTCGTAGACTTGGGGGGGTTGCAGACTGTCAGAAATAGTGCAAATTCAGTCCACTTTTAGGGTTAGGGTTAGAGCTAGGGAATCATGGGGATTGTTTTTTTTTCGGAGACATTGAGCCTTCTCTGTCAGAGAGCTCTAGTGCCACAATAAACTACAGTTCCCATGATTCCCTAACCCTAACCCTAACCCTAAAAGTGGACTGAATTTGCACTTTTTCTGGCAGTCTGCAACCCCCCTTGGTCTACTTTCTCAGATGCAAGTTGTTGCATGTAAGGAAGTAGACCAAGTCTATAGTAGGTTATGCTACAACTCCTTTTTCACAGTTAGTCTCAAATATGCTACAAGGTCTTGTGCGTATTGTATACTGAACTTCATTTTTTTTTAACTTTAGTTAATTACACTGGAGGTTCAGCATTTCTAACATTCTCTGATTTCTGTCCCAGTCACAATAACCTCTGTATGCGCTTCAGTAGTCTTGAGGGTTGGACCATGGGCAGTGTTCAAGAAGTACTTTTTCTCCCCAGAGTTCAGGAAAACAAGTCTTCTGTATTGCAAACAGCAAAACTTTACAGTCAGCCTTCCATATCTATGGCTTTGACTTTTGCGGATTTGATTATTTGTGGATTTGATTAATATGATCTCTCTAGGAATCTCTAGGTCCTCCAGCATGACTCTGCTGGAGGTTGACTATAGAGTTGTGCTGGAAGATCTAGAGATTGCTAAAGAAATACTTCTCTAGGCATTTGTAGGTCCTCCAGTGTAATTCTAGGGTCCACCTCTGGCAGATGTTGACCGTAGAGTTGCCCTGGAGAACCTAGGAATTCCTAGAGAGGTGTATCTAACAAATAAAAATTCCTTGCTGGATAAAGTCTGGTAAAACAACCAAACAAAAAGTTGACACTTCAGTTAACAAATCATCCTAAGTCTAATGTCACAGGCTGTGTGTTTTATAATAATAAATAATAATAATTCTTTATTATGGCCATTTAGCCAGCTCCCAGCTTCCACCCAATACCTCCATCTCTAGCTGTGTGTTTTAGTTATGTTTTAATTTTTGTATGTTTTTACTGTTAATTTTATATTGTTTTAATTAGATGATTTTAACTGTTTTTAAAAAATTTATGTAAAATTTTTAAAAATGTTTTTAATCTTGTGAGCCACTTTGGGTCCCTTTTCTGGGAAAACAGCTGCATTAAATAAATAAATAAATAAATAAATAATAAAATTAAAAATGTTTACAAAAAGTTTTAAAACCAATTTAAAACCATCACGTGAAAACTCTATAAAACTGATTAAAAATCACAGAAAGTAAAAACCAGATAAAACATACATCTATATTATGAACCTTCTCTGCTCAAATATTAAAAGTTTTGGTTAAATAAAAATGATAGAATTCAAAGATATAGCCATGTTAATCTGTAGAATCAGTACCTAGAGAGATCTTTTAGAACTTTTGAGAGTAACTAAAGAAAGATGTTGGCAGCATGAGCTTTCGTAGATGCTCCCAAAATGCATTTGAGGAAGTAGACTTACGTCTATGAAATCTCATGCTGTCAACTTCTTTTTTTAGTTAGTCTCAAAGGTGTTACAAGATCTCTCTACATACTTAAATAAAAATGTTTTTGCTTGCTGGTGAAAGGAAAGCAGGGACGGGGCCAGCCTAGCCTCCCATGGGAGGGATTTCCAGAGAGTGGGAGCAGCCACCAAGAAGGCACTCCCTCATGTCCTCACCTGTGATGGGGTAGGACTGAGAGAAAACCTTCCCCTGATGATCTTAAAGTTCTGGTAGATTCATATGAGATGGCGTCCTTTCGAATAGTCTGGACTTAAGCTGTCAGAAAATGTCAGATTGAAATCTCAGTGCGTTTAGAAAGTCACTTACTCTTTTTTTCAGGGGGGGAGATTGCAGCTCCCCAAATTTCCCAGCTAGCATGATCACTTATTTATTTAGGTATTTATTTCTTTATTTCTTTTTATCCTGCCTTTCTCCTAAAGTGGGACCCAAGGTGGCTAACAACATATATAAAACATATTAAAAC